GAAACATATGTATTGCAAACGGCCCGAACGAAAAGTCCAAAGCAATCGAAAAGAACTGCCACGTCAAGCGTCGGACAATGCCCGGCCTCTTGTGAAAGCAAAGAGTGCATCTGGGCCCAGAAATCCGCTGCGACTCTGCGGAGAAGTATGCCGACCATGTCCTGGGCCCCGGCCGATGGCCGCCGTTGAAATGGAAAAGCAATGGGATGCACGAGATCGGGGCACTGTCAATCTAAGCTGCTTTCAGGGGAAAAAGAAAAGGCACGAAAACAAGACCAAAAGACCTTAGCAATCAATGCGAGCCGGCATCAAACCGCCCGAACGGCTGTCGCAAGACTGAGATTCCATTCGGGTCGCAGCCGACGTTACCCTCTCTCCTCCCATACGAAAAAACAAGGCACTAAGCGCCGACGTCGAGTCGCCTCGCCGGTCACAAGCAGCCTCGGGGGCTTCAGCTCGGAAATTCTTGGACATTGACGATCCCCTCTCAAGTCTCATTGTTAGACGGGTCATTGGAAACACACCAATTCGCCTGGTGCGACGCTTGCTAGTTAGGGGGGGGGGGGGGGGTAAAAGACGTGGCAACCAACAACGGCGCGGAAAAGCCAAACGCGACGGGAAAGTTCACCATTCGCCACAGCAGACTCTAGGCTATTCTTTGCCGAAATTTGCATCATTACAAGACTTACGCGACTGGCTGTGAACCACGTTGCCTTTCAATTTCCATAGAGTCGACTCGTGGGAAATCTCAGCAAGAATTGAGGAGAAACGTTCTTCATCAATATCAGCGAGGGAATATCAGTGGCTCGAAGTCTCATCCCCACAGGGAGCGACCATCTGTTCACAGACCGTTCTGCCGTCAGTGCCGCGAGGCGAGATGAGGTAGGCAGATCTTTCTCAGATGGCTTCGCACGCACGCACGCCCAGGTACGACACGCGCCGTTCATAGAGCTACGGCCTCGGGCGTCCACTGTCGCGCGCGGAGCTTCGTGGCCAACGAGGTGAACACTCAACAAGCATCCTGGAGGCAGAGCGCCATGTGTGATGCAAGATGAAGTATGGCACAACCTTAAGCTCTTCCCAAGCTACCTGACGCCACGCCACGATGGGCTACTGTACAGCGAGTATGTGTCGGTGGCAATCAACATCTCTTCACGAGAGGAAGAGACCAACTCGCGCTAGGAACTTGGCTCAGGTCTCGGTCAGAGGAAGACAGAAGGGGAGGAGGTCTAGGGGCGGGAGGGGAGGGAGGGAGAGGGGACAGCCGGCTTGTTCGGCCGATCTCTGGCGCAACTCGAGCCATATCCGCCAGCGAACCCCTGTACCGCCCCAGCAAAAGGACCGGACTGGGCTCTTTCCAACTCCAACCAGCTAAAGAACCGGCAAAGGCAGCATCGGGGCCCTCGTTGTGGTCGTCTGTTCCCGCTCGCTCTGGTTTAGAGTTAAATCAAAAGCGGTCAGCCGTTGATGAGACGAGGATCTCTCATTAAAGGTCAAACCGCGGTCAAATCCATCCACGGAAAGAAAGGAAATGATGGATTGGTTTTTCTATCAGTCTTGTCAGTGTCAACGTCAACGTCAATGTCAAGTGTCAGTGTCACGATGTATCTACCTACATGTGACAGAAGCAAATATGGCATGGAGCCTGATCCGTCGCCAACGTCAGCAATCTATGGAGCGTAAGGTACAAATGTGCCATAATCAGATGCTTTTTCATTCTTCTTCGTCTGCTTGCCGCACTTTTCGATATTTTCCTGCAGAAAGACGTAAAAAGGAAGCAGCTTCACCTCGGCAGGCTTGCATCTAAGCAGCACTGCAGCAGTCAGGGACAGGGGCACCCAGGCAGCGCCATTCCGACAAGGGAATGGCTTCGTGCGGGGGAAATTGGCATCTCCCCAGACAAGCTGCGATGTGGCCCTCCCCTTCCTGGGCCTCGTCCAAGCTAAAATTTGTCCTTGTCCACGTCGTCAAACGGACGCGAAGGGTGCAGAGCCTGGCTTGGTGTGGTGAGATTGACCCAATCAAGGCAGACATGACACACGGGTGTTACCTAGATGGGATACATGAGAGAGGGGGATCACGGTGGTTGCTTGTGGCTGCCGTGGTGTTCCTGCATCTGCCCACCTTATCTTGCCTGTGTCTACCTTCTTGTCTGTCATTCCGGATATGATTGTATGTCTGGTGCCACCATCTCTCTCTTAACCTTAGGGCGCCAGACCCGGATGGATTGGCAAACCTTTTTCAGCTTAAGTTACCGAAACGCGCGACCTTTGCGTATCCGCATTATGGACTTGGACGGGCAAAAGTGGCCAATCAAGCTAACAGAGTTCGCATAATCACCAAGTCGCCCAGATCCCTCTACGGAAGCAGAGGCAACACGATTGGGATGGCGTCTTCAATGGCCTTTACGAAGTGGTATCAAGGTGTTCTAGATGGTTCAATACGGGCAAAGACTGGAGCTATAGTTCCGAGTGCCCTTGTGCCACCCAACAAACAGTCCAATATCATCCCGCATGTGGCAATGTGGCCTTGGTCAAGGAAGTCCAGGATCCATCATCATCTTCTCAATTAACTTTGCAGAGTCTAGAAGCCCCCAAAACTTACTTCACGAGGAACCATGGCCAGAGGTTCATCTGACAGCTCCGGACTTCAGCTCGTCTTACTTCTGATTCTCTAGAGACGCTTGGCCAATGGCAACTTTTCGATTTCCCCATCAATAGCGTGACAAGCAGCCAAGAGATGCTCCCGCCATTGCCCCCAGTCACCCCGGATTTGGCCTGGAAAGTGGAAAGGAGGAGAGAAATTTGATCCCAGCTACGGAGAATTCTCCATTTCCGAGAGCAATTGACTCAACAATACATGTAACCACAAGTGTTGCACGTCCGCCAGATCCCATACACAATTTCACCAGTCATGGGATTCAACGCTTATTGAAGCGCAGCGCCATGTCAGCTAACTACTAAGATGAGTGGATTGGCTCCGAAATTACGCCCGACCGAACATACAAAAGTCCAGCTTCCCAACACTGCAAAGCCCATGTCCATCTGCATCATGCCACTCCCCTGATGGGGAATCGATCTCCTTCTTCACATGTCCAACGAGATGAGTACCGAGCACAACCTGCGGCCTTTACACACACAGAGACACCACTTTTTCTCCAATACGCGCCCTCGCGCCATAATGGCCAGGATTCAGAACTTAGCTAAGAGGCAATAGAGGTCAAAAAAGCCCACTTCCCCGGCCTCGCCTTGACCCAAGAAGATCCCCGTCCTAACGGAGGATACTGTCCAATCCGGTATTCCCACCCGTCCACACCCCCTGCTCCTCTGCAACCCTCGCCTTTGCTCTATACGATCACCGGCGCAGCCCTGAGGCCTGCAGACCACTCGAAGGTCGGGTACGCGCGGGGAACTTTCGACTACGAGGTAGGCCCTGTTCTCGCTCTCTTCTTTTTTCATCATACCGTTGCAACGCGCATGCACATGCCGACCCCATTCGGACCTAGCAACCACTTCTCACGACCAGGGTCTCTCAGCTATCCACTTTCCCCCAGATTCTTGACTTGCTTGCGCAGTAACTCTACTGACGGAGGTCCTCATCCATCCGGGTTTTCTGTGACTACTTCAGTTGCTTGCCAGTAGTAGTCACTGGACTCGCTACAACTGCTTGTACATGCTCTCCAGGATGGAAGCCCACTTCTAGTCGTTTGCCCCGTCCCAGCCCTGAGAACCTTGGTTATTAGGCTCGCCAACTAGGTCCATGCAATTCCTTCTCCGTTATGAACCTCGAAGTCATCCCAGTCCGAACATCCCGCCTATACCCATACAGCCGAAAGGCATCAGGGTGCAACCACACGTACCCTCTACTCCGGCTTCTATCTACATAAAGTCTGCTCTCCCTCAGCTTTTCTCAGGCTCTCTCTTCTCCTCTGCTTCATCCACACTCGCTTGTCTTTCATACCGACACCTGATACCCACTACCACCTTACACTCACAACCCACCAACAAGCAACAATTATCAAAATGAAGTACGCGTATGCTCTCGCTGCCCTGGCCGCTGTCGTCGCCGCCCAGGTTGACCCTACCATCATCCCCGAGTGCGCTCGTCAGTGCTTGCTGGACGCCACTGCCTCGGCCACCAGCTGCAAGGCGGGCGACTACGTCTGTTCCTGCGAGCCCGCCAACAAGTCTGCCATCCAGGCCGCCGCCACTGGCTGCGTCGTCGGAGCCTGCGGTGCCGACGTTGCTCTGAGTATGTCTACATGCATTCCTATGTACTACCAAAGTAGTATGATCAGAAGGCTAACCTCACTTATCAACAGACCAGGTCCTTCCCGCCTCCGACAAGCTTTGCGCCGCCGCTTCGGCCGGCTCTGGCATGTCTGCCTCAGCTTCCGCCTCCTCCTCGGCCGCTGCCTCCTCGGCTGCCTCTGCTGCCTCTTCGGTCCCCCCCGCCAGCATGCCTTCCGTTGCCTCCACCACGGCCGTGACCGTCACTGCCTCTCCCTCCGCCAGCAGCGTTGTTGTCACCTCTACCCGCGCCAGCAACGGCACCGCCTCTGCCTCTGGCACCGCTTCCGGTACCGCTGCCGCTACCACCTCCGCCGTCCAGGCTGGCGCTGCTGGTCTTGCCCCCATCGGCGGTCTTGCCATGCTGGTTCTCGGTGCTCTTGCCATCTAAGCTACCAGACCACTGGAAACATGGCTCTTGGAAGTAGAGCTCGCCCGGTGCTATCTGTAAAGATAGATGGGTGGACTCTTTGTACGTTCATGAGAAAAGCCGGAACGAAACGATTCATGGTTGATGGTGGATGATCGAAGTTTTCTGCACCACCATACGGAGGTTTATTGCCCGAAGTCATGTGTTTGACATCGGGCATGTAGTTCAAGTCAAAAGCAATACAAGTTTTTTAATACCATTACTCGGTCTCTCTTCATTATCTTGCAAAACAAAGTCCAATATCGCTCCCTCTAAATTACCCTAGCAGGCCTGGGGCCGCATCAGAGGAACCAAAACACAACTGTCCATGTTAAGGTTATCGGCATCAAGATCTTCTTAGCTAGACGTCCGACGACAGGTGACCACGAGCTATGCGGGGTGTTCATGAGAATGTTTGCCTGCTTGCTAACATCCGGGCACTTCCCATCGAGCAGATCCTGCATGCTAGACCTCTTTCCCACGGCCGCTTTCCCGTCCGGCATGCACTCTCCCGCTTCGTACCCGCGCCTGAATTCGAGCGCATTGGCAAACATCCGCGCCTTCTGATCAGTGGTGAAGCCGTTCTGCGGTATTTTTCCACGGCACGAGGAGTACTGTTCTCCAACCAAAAGCTATCCGTTAGTGCTCTTCTTTGAGTCCAATATGAGGGCGGCAGGACACTGACACTCATGTAGTTATTGATCTCAACCGCTGGACCACCAACGCATGTTACCTGCGAGCATTGATAAACCACGTCACGACTACCCGAGGTCTGGGTCGCGTTTGTCAATCCATCTTGAATGAGACATTCCTGGCCGATCTCATTAAACGTATGACCGAGACCAAACCAGTGACCAACATCGTGAACAAGTGTTGTGGCGTCGCCTCCCTGAACATGCGCCTCTTCAATTACAATACCGTCTGCTTCATCGAGCTGCTGGTTTGGGAACGTGACGTACTATGCATGATGATAATCAAGAGTTAGTCATTGTTTTCTTTCATGATCAGGTAGTTAGTTGGAATAGCCTTACGCTGTTGAGTTCCTGGTCATTCTTTTCACTGCTTCGCAACCCATTGACAATCCAAACGGTCAATGTTAGCTTTCCAGGCGCGCGTGTGCGGCGTTGCCAGTCTAATAATTTAGCCTCCTGTCTGGTTACTCTTGACCAGTCCTCATTTGCCTTTGGCTCCCACCAATTGAGTGCCATAAAGCGGAAGTTGATCCTCACTGCTCCCAAAGCCTCGTTCAGGACATCGATCTACACACCTTCAGTCCCAATACTCTGACAATCTCTACAATAGATGAGTGAGAGCTTACCTGTCCTTTCACCCTCGACTCCAGCTCATTTGGTTTCTCGGCGGTCGAAGAGGCTCTCATATAATGAAAATATACCCCAACTTCCATAGAGTCAACTGCTTTGCAATTGCTAAAGCCTCGGAGGTCCCGTGATACTAATGGTATCCAGTCGAATACGTTGTCAACGAAGGCCTTTCTCCTTGCCAATCTCTGAGAGTATAAATTTTGGCACTCGGAAATATTGGCTGGGATGGAGATTTTTCCCATGTCGACAGGAGCAGGGTCCTTCTTGGCAAAGTACTCGAAATACGCCGTCTCAAGGATCGCCAGCGCCCGGGCATTGTTATTATTTATCGACTTTGCCGGAACATTGACATTGAGCTCGGCTTGAAATTGCTCAATCGTTGATTTATCGGGAGGTGTGACAACTTGAGACTCTGGGACCGCCAGAATTGCTGTTTCGTTAACACCTTGGAAGCTGTCCGATGGTTGAGCGGCAAAGGAGGCCGTAGTAGCTAGCTCTGGCGATGAGACTGTATAAGTAGCTTGACCGGCACCAAGAGAGCCAGTTCGAGACCTTTTTCAGTTTAGCAAGAATTACTAAGGTATCAAGAAGCACTTACACTTGAGTCGATGCAACATTGCCCGGGTCATCAACTGCCCGAGTGCCTGACGCTTGAGGGGCACCAGGTGCAGTGGTTCCTGATCCCTGGACCTGGACTAACGTAGAGCTACCGGGACCTCTGGGTACGCTGGATTGCGCCTGAGAACTGCGCTGTGCTGAATTTGAGTTTGGAATACTTGCTGATGCTTCGCCGCTTTGTACAATTACTCTAGATGAAGGAGCTTCCCTCGAGTCTGTTATCTCTCTCGAAGGGACCGCTTGACCAGACACGCTGACTTGGACCGAAGACGCTGCTTCTTTGGGAGAATTGGGAGAGGCAGGCACAGCAGATGATGCAGGAGCAGCCTTAGATGTAACCTCTACATTCGCAGAGGAGGGCTTGATGATTTGAACAGAAGGCTGCGCTGAACTTGGACGAGCTTCTGATACGGGTGGTCTTGCTACGGAAGAAGCCTCTTGCGGTGTTTTGGGCCTGGTGCTTGCGGGTGGAGGAGCGGCTGGTTCTATATGCTCTCATGTCAGCAAAGTCTCGCACAACAAGACATAAAGCAGCGAGTCCGCCTTAAGGGCCTTTCACTATTTGTACTGACCTGGAGAGCTGACTGGCACTGGCGGCCTGGCGACAGAAGATGCTGGAGCATCAGAAGTTGACAAGTTGCTGAAGTTTTGCGCAGACACCCAGGATAACGGCCCAGATAGGAGACAGATGAAGGCAAGGAATCTCATGTTGAAGTCAACTCGAATTCACTCCAATGGTTATTTTCAATATTGAATCTGAGCAGAGACATCTCAAGATGGGAAGACCGTGCCGATCATTATTATACACTTCATGTGGACCATCTCCAGAACTCGCTTGAGCTATCCAAAACCGTTTGAAGAGGGTCTCTTCAACCAGATGGCTGGAATACGCCACGCTCGCTGCTAGCAGAGTAAGGCTGGATGCATTCGGCATTTTGATTCACACATGCGGGGAAAGCTGGCAGCTTGGGTAGATGAACGAGCTGAACAGCTTCTGCCAAGCCTGTTTCTTTGAGCCACAGACGTTGGCGGTGCTTCAGCCGCAGTGCTTCGATCCATCTCCGACGTCGTCTGCTGTGATAGGTGGATTTGACAACCTCCTCATATGGAGAACAATGTTTTGAGATATGTAAACAAAAGCTCCCCGCAGCTCCTATTCCGCGAACCACCCTAGGCAAATGCTTCGACGGTGTTGAATTCACTCCACAGAGCTGCTGATCATTCCAGCAGAAGCAGCAAAGATGGCTACGGGCAAACATGTCGTAATTGTTGTTTCAGTGCTATATTTTGCCTCATTCCACGATGCCAACAAGCGGTATTCCGTAAAATTTGGCTAGATTCTTCACTACAGGCGGGTCACATTCGAGGTCATCTTTTCAGGCGGGGAATGCAGCTTTCTCATTGACATATCAATGCTATTGCGCCACAACAGCCATTCGCTCGAATACCCTGGAGCGTATTGGATGTTTGCGGCAGTCGTGTGCTACTCCATAACCTACTAATACCAAATTGTAGAGCCATCCTAGAGCCCAGACTTGCGCCAAGGCTGGCCATTGAGGCGTCTCTCCGTCCTCGTGACATTTTTGCCAGGCATAACACCAGCTGCGCTTTTAGACAGGCAGGTAACATTCTTAACGCATCTTTAGCTTTGAGTTTAATTTCCTTAGCTTCCATGACTGCCGCCACGGCTCAGCCCTAGGACTGAGACACTAGAGTTTTGGGATAGACTGAAGTTCGGACCGAGAAACTGGATTGTGTCCCGCATCATCCGCGCCCGGGTTAGAGAGTAGAAGACATCTTAGTGAGCTGAGCAATCAAGGACACCAATGAGAACCCACAATGGCGATCAAAGAGAGAAAATGCGGGCGAAAATTCGTCCCCAAAGATGGCGAGCCAAATATGCAGCAGCTGGTAGGACCGACCGAAGCGCTGGGGTCCCTGCACCTACTTGTATATTTGCCCGTTTGCGTGAATGTTATTTGACTGTGCCTTATGTGCAGACACCAAGTGACGCGAAACATTCCAATGGTGCCTACGACGTCCCATGACGTGTGAGTCACCTATCCAATTACTTAATCCCCCCCATGAACACTAAAGTTACGTCAAAGTGATGTTCAAAAGCGAATCGTTGACTGATCAGACGTAGATGTAGCACAAGAATAAAGTAGCTGCGTTGTTCTAAGAATCAAAGCTGGGTCTACTCTAGCTCTGACATACAGCACTGCTCGTGTAACACCAAATATTTAATATTCGGTATCAGCCAAGTAATACCGTAGTTGGCCCCATTCCACTTTTGCTGTCCATTTCGTGCCATGATATCTGGGAATGCCCTTAAATAGAAGAAGTCTAAACGAAAGTCAAGAAGAGAAACACCAGCTTTGTACTCCAGCCCCCAAGACCCCTCATATCAATCTATCAAGCCAGACTAAACTGGACGTTCACACCAAGAGTGTCGTAATTTTGTACAAGACGGAAACTACATTCTCGGAGCCCGACGACGGCCGAATTCATATCCACCGTAGATGGTCGACGCCGAAGTGTATTCATCAGACTTGCGAGTCTCAAAGGTCGTCGGGGTGGGCGATACCTCTGAAATGGAGGAGCTCACCAGGGACGGTCGAGCACTGGCCACGGTGGTGCCGAGATACTTGGTCGAACTCGACTCCTGGGACGACTGGGAAGATGAAGAGGGAGGATAGTCGTAACCACCAGGGATGCTGCTGGCAGTTGAGCTAGTCAGAGTTGGAAGAGCACTCGAGATGGTGGTACCCAAGGTTGAGCTTGAAGCTGGGTAATAGGTGTCGTAGCCTCCAGGGATATCCGAAGTGCTGCTAGAGACGAGTGTAGGCTTGGCGCTGCCTACAGTAGTTTCCGGCGATGCGGTGGACTCCTGAGTGGAGGGAGGGTAGTCGTATCCGCCAGAAACGCTGCTCAGAGTTGCTGTACCTGTGGGTGTGACGAGAGTGGCCAGAGCGCTGGAGATTGTGAATCCCGGTGCAGAAGTGGAGGGAAGGGAAAGATACGACGACACAGACGTGGAAGTGGATTCCTCGTGAGTTGTGCAAGGTTCCTTGGATGTAGTAGAGACAGCGCTGCTCCCGAGAGAGGTAGGAGTAGTGTTGGACAAGCTGGGGGCGGTGGTGGTAGGGTAGCCGAGCGTAGTGGAAAGCTGAATGGAGGTTGGTGATGAAACAGATGGAAAGCCACTGGAGACTCCTGTACCGCGACTAGTCGACGAGGAGGCAGTCCCGGTGCTGATAGGTACGGTCTTCGTGAGGGTGACGACAACTGTAGTCCTCTTCGTGGTATGAGAAGTGGAGAGAGGGGGTGTGGATGCTCCGGGATGCTGAGACGAGACAGTGGTGTTGAAGACTGATGTGGTGGTGAGGGTGGTCAACGAATAGGAAATAGGGGGGGCGATACTCGACTTGGATTGTGTGGAAAGAGACGGCAGAGGGGGAATGCTGATCGTGGGGATGCTTGGGATGCTTTGGGTCGTAACTTTTGAAGAAGTGGACGAGTCTGTGTCAGTGGTGCGGATGGTCTTGGTAACGGTGCGAGTGATATGAGTGCGGGTAGAGTTCGTCCAGAGGCTCGAGGGGAAGCCAGTGGTAACACTCGTGCCGGCAGTGCCAGTACCATGACTGTAGGAGCTGGGAAGGCTGAGGGTTCTGGGATATCAGTTAATATCAATGGCAACTGCGAAAGAACGTCAACTTACGACGAAGTATTGGTGGCCCAGGTTGGAGAGGAGCTCGGGGTGCCAGCACTAGGCAGCTGGGAGGAGAAAGTGACTCCCGTAGTTGGAGTCCATGATGACACTGCTCCGGTGGCTTCAGAAGAACTGCTAGAGCTAACGGAGGTGGACGAGTTGGTGTGGCCGAGGGACGTAGACGCAGTAGGGAGAATGCTGGACGACGAGGACTTAGAGCTCAAGCTTCCTGGGATGCCCGTACTAGAAGGCTCGCAGGTGTGAATGTACGGAGGTGTCACAGTTAGGGTCTCTGTGATAGTCACGGTACTGGCACACTGAGAACCACAAGCAGTGACAGTGACCGTCGCCGGAGGATGCGGAATGAGGTAGTTGTTGGCGTTGGGAGGAATGGCGTTTACCAAAGAGGCACTGCAAAGTCGGGTCAGCGATGGTCGAGAAAAACACGATTGAAGCCTCACCTAAGACCTAGAAGGACGAAGTAAAGTGCGACAGGGACCATGACTGGCAGAGGGTTCGGGATATCAAACGAGTGTGGCGTCGCAACAGCTGGTGCTTGCGGGTTTGAGATGAGAAGCGAAACTCCAGTACACCATTACGTCCGTCCAGACAGCTTTATATCAAGAAGGCCATCTTATGTACACCAATGCTAGATGACACGGCATATATCTCAGAGCATTTCCGATTGCAACGCCGACGGGAGGGCCGGCAGACATCCTCGTCACGGAAGCCGTTACCCCGGCCTAGAACGTCCTTCGGCGAGGCTTTTCATGCAGGGCGCCGCTGAGAGCCAACAACACAGCGATCGATTCAAGTATCTCCCTAGTGAAGTTCCGAGCTAAACAGAAGTTAGAGGCTTGCCCTCGTGGTTGTTTGAAGCGAGATCGCACAAGCCGCAACGTTCGAGATGCGTCGTTGCCACATGGGTCAAGGGGATGGGTACCTGATCTCATCTGAGCCAGACCGTCAGGATTGTTTGACAAAACCATTCGAACTTCACGAGTGATAATTTGAGCCGAAAACAGATGGGATTTCTGGCAAGGAAAGCCATATAATTTAGCAATCTCAAGTAACGGCTACAACGTGTGATGCTACATAGCTTGGATGCGCTCCAGAGCTGGCACTTCAGGATGCAGTGTTCGTTTGCGGGTAGAATTTTGAAGACAAGATTAATGCCCCTGCCTTTTAGATTCGACGGGAAATCCTGGTAGGCAAACAAGAGCGGCGAGAAAACAGAGTCGTGTGAATGAGCACGGCTGCAGATGCCCTCGTTGCGGCTGCAGGTGTCCGTCCCACACAATCTCTGGCAGACAACCCACATAGTCAAATAACCTCATACGAGCAAAATAGGTAAGAAGTCCAAGTTCGCGTTACCCTGGCCTTAAGATTGGAGCATCGGAATACGATTTTGTGATCTGCGTGTTCTGGAGGGCACATGTACGAGAATCTGACATCCTCTTCGCCCCGAATTGTAGAATGTTTGAAGCTTCGAGCTTTTCCAATAACCTGGAATCACTATTCTCTAAGGATGCTCCAGCACGACAGATCCCGTATTTTTCATCAAGCATGAGATACTACGGTAGTGAGGGACTTTTTTGCTTTCACATTGGCTTCCAACAAGATGGTGTTACACCGACGCCAGTGCACGCATCGCGTGTGTGCATGTCTGCATTGACGTAGCTGCGGGTTTCCGACCATTCAGGGGTGGGACCAAACAGACAACATCTGTTCCCTTCATAACAAAAAGAAGTTTAGAGCCTGTGTCCTTGGTTGCAGGACCAGAGAATGCACCTACACATAAACACCATTTAGGCACTGGATTCACAGAAACCGTTCATTCTACTTGTAAGGTAGTTATACCGGGGAGGTGCATCCTGCAGATGAGCAACACGTACAATCAGATCCCGTAAACTTGACATTCTTGTCACATGTTGATTGCGGGAGTATGTGCGATTTCTGCGGCGGGAAGGATGAAGGAAGCACTTTTGTCTAGAAGTTTCCGTTGCAACAGAAAAGTCGGAAGTTTTCTAATCGGCCGAAGGCGGGAGTCATCTTCGTCACTTTGGAAGGATCAGCAGAGCTTCACGTCTTGTTTGCACTTCATCTCGGGTTGTGTGGGCCGTCTCACACCCGTTGATGTTTGTCCTTGTTGGTACTCGGAGATTTGGGCGAGCGGCTGTACTGGACTTGGGGGATAGTCCCTCTACAACACACCTTGATCTGCACGGGATGTTTTGTTTGACCAAACCTTGCCCCGACCTGTCCAGGCGACGGTATCACCTCGATGCGTGGCACGCGTGGCCAAAGGCGTTCGAAATTACGGTTGTGCGCCACATCACCGAGGACGGGGGCCATGAATCATTGATCCTCGTACAATGCGACTAAATTGGCACTCTGTGTAGAGTAAAGTAATGTTCACATACAGAGCAAAAACACGTATCTGAGACTGTCTTAAGCTCTGCGAGAGGAATCATTGCCAAGCTCTTCCACAATTGCAGGTTACACGGCCGGGTAAGGAGTCGTAAGGTGGCCACAATCGCGGCACCTATGTGTGCGATTCAATTCTCCTCGGCACGCCCAGCCGCTTGATTTGGTTGTGGCAGGTCCCGCTGGAATAGATGAAAGATCAAGTGCGTGATGCAACTGTCTCGCACTGCACCCTGGGAGAGTACCCTCGCCTCTTCGTCTTGCGAGCAAACAACTTTGGGATAAAGATGTGCAGTCTATTCATAGTCCCGCACCTCAAATTTCTGGATACTCTCTGGATAATCTCCATCCCAACATACTGTTCTCAGAGGACCGCCTTCAATGCCTTGAATGCATCATCTCGACTGCCCGAGAACCTGAGCTCTGAGGTCTTCCAGTTAATGACTTTCCAGATATTCTCCACGTATGCCGCCTTTCCATTAAGATACTATCACTCTCCTTGATTAGTCTACTAGAGTCTCAAGCACATGTTCTCATCGGTGGGGACGAACCTGTAGGTAGTACGCGTGCTCCCACATGTCGACACCAAAGATGGGCACACCCTTGGTGACGGGGTCCTGGTCCTTGGTGGTAACGATGCTGAGGCCTGTGACATCGTCTTTGACCAGCCAACCCCAGCCGCTGCCGGTGATACCAAGCAGAGCGGCATTAAAGGCCGCTTTGAATTGATCAAGGCTACCCCAGATACGAGTAACCTCGGCGATCAGCTTCGGTGCCGCATCAGGCGAAGCATCCGGGCTTGAAGCTGGGGAGAGGTTCTCCCAGAAGAGAGAGTGGTTGATGTGGCCACCGCCGTGAAAGTTGAGGGCTGCGAGGACCGTGAAACGACTTTGGAGAGGGTTCGCGTTGTAAGTCTCTATGGCTTTGTTCAAGTTCGTGACGTATGTTTGGTGACTGTTTAACTCAATGATTAGTACCTTGGTGACGCATACTCCGTTTCTCCCCGGCACGATGCGGCTTACTGTTTGCTGTGATGTAGCTCCATGATTTGAGCCGAGATGTGAGGCTCGAGAGCCTGCGGATGAGATTAGCATATAGCGGCTCTATCGAGCAGTGATGGGAAACTAACATCGTAAGCGTAGGGAAGCTTAGGTAGCGTGTATTGCGCGCTGGTCATTGTCAAATATTGATGCCGGGTATGGTCTGGTTAGCTAGGCTGTGCAGCGAATATCGTGAGGTCTTGGAGCTGTGTGTAGATGAAGTTGAGTCAATAGGAAAGGGTATCGAGGGGTAAGAACTTAGAATCCAGAGTCACTCCCGCCGGCAAAGACATACAACCGGTCCAAATGAGGGGTAGAAGTGAGCACATTTCATCATCTAGGCAACAAGACTCGCCTTTTCCATGTCCGTTGAGGCCGAGGATGTGACAAACACCTTGATGGCTGCCCTTCCTCCGTCTCATTGACCGGCTCCATTCCAGAATTGCATGGGTCATGGTGCTAACGCCCACCGACGACTCGGGCATGTCCACCCGCCCATATGCCTCGAGATTCAGTCCTCGTCAAGATAAATCTTCGAGAGGACTGTTGTCGACTTCGATGTGTTTTTAGTAAAGTCAACAGTCTGTAAGTCGCGGCGATATGTGTATGTAGCGCAGACCGGCTTAAACATGATCAATATTGCTCTAACTTGCTCACCAGGAAACCCGTGCAGGGCCCTCCAGTTCCAAAGTTGGGGTCAGATGTGCTATGATTGGCCAACATATTACTAGTGACGCCCCGGTCCGCGACCCGTTCACGCTCGTTTTGGGATGACAGGGATAGAGAGACAGATTGAGCACCTTGAGGGAGTTATTGGGATCAATCGAGATGTTTAAAGCATCGCGAAGGCTCTACCTTTCGAGTTGCTGGTTTGTACAGTTGTTCCAATTCTCACAAGTCGGCCTTCCAACAGCCTCCACCGACTTGCTAGCCATACTCGCAACTCATTCACATCTCACCATGTGCGGCCCAGATACCTGCACCAAGCCCCGAGGCGGCGCTTTGGCTGTTCTCAACCAACCTTGCAGCCAGCACAGCCCGACAACACCGAAACAGCGCCTTCGCGGAGATCTCGCTTTTCATACGCCTGGTCAACCGGGATGCTCTTTGGCGACCCATGCACGAATCACAGGCGGCGAAGGTTGCGATTTACAGTCGTTGTCCGAGATGATTGTCGTGATACAGTAAGTAATGCTGACCTGAACATCGCGAGGTGGGGTTGAGTAGCATCAGGCATTAACAAAGCTCTTCTTAACAGTCAGTCCGGTGACCTCACTCGTAAACTTGAAGATTGCGGCTTGTTCGAACGCTTCGCCTTCTCCGGTGCCTCGATCCTCGAGAACGGTTCTATACTGGAGTTGGCGTTAAAAAGGCCAGTCTCGCTGGAAGTCGGCGATGATGGCATCATTGGCCGTAGAGTTTCTGTCTTTCCAGGGACAGAAATGGATCATGCATGCGCCGAGGGCATCGTTGGCTTCAATTTTGTCCACGCATTGTGAAAGCTGCAGACCGCATCTGACTTGAGGAACCTATTTTAGCATGGCATTTGGCGTTTGAGCGATATCGGCGTTCAATATTCATTCATAATTTTAGTTCGTGGACTACCTTGGACTTGTAATCCCGAGCATGACTTTCATGTCCGTTAGCAAAATGAGTGCATCTCTATCTTTGAGTCACAAAGTCCATGCACTCTGTGTCTTCAGACGCTCGAATCTAGACACATCGATTCACGAGACATATGATAGACCCATCTATGTTTCCAATTTACTCGCGATTCTCTTCGTTCAATGGCTTTACCTCACTTTACCGAAACATCCTCGCGCGTGTACACGCGACTGCATTTGACCACCATGGGAATCATCGCCCTGTAAGAGTAGAAAAGCCCTCCTGCAAGTCTCCGAGGCCGTTTTGACTTTTAAGTACTAAGACAGCTTCGTAGGGACCGTTTAAGCTAACTATTGTCCTACCCATCTGCTTTTCAACTTGATCTCTTGCTTCATCATGATGATTAATAATCCTTACAATATTTGACTCA